GAATGCCAATTCGAAAGACCATCATAGCTATGTGTGTGTCGTCAGGTGCGTTGCTTGAGCTTCGCTCTCGTAGCTTCCGCTGCTGTTGCGGCTGCTGTTGATTAGCCGGCGCTTGGTGGGTGGGTCCAGGGTTGGACGAATACGGGGTGGCCGTGTGGCCCGGGTTGCCGGGTCGTAGCGGTCTGTCTCCTGGAAGTCGTCCAGCCATTGTGCCTTTTTGCCTGTGCCCCTTTTCCCTGCCTCCTCTCAAACGCCCTGGTCCTCGCCTGATGTCATCTTCGTCGTCTACGTCCTCTTCATCATCCAACTCCAGCTCTCCGTTCTCCTCCTCGCCTTCCTCGTCCATGCCGTCATCATCCATTTCCTCTTCCTCCTCCTCCTCCTCTTCTTCTTCCTCTTCCGCCCCTGGATAAAGGTGTTGACTGTTTCCCAGCATCCTTTGCTGCTCCTCGTCGCTGGAGAGGGGGCTGAGCGGCATCGTCATGGCGACAGGGAGAGTGGCACCAGCGGCAACGGCATCATCCCCAGAGACACACTGTGAAAAGAGAAGAGGAGTGTAAGCATGAGAAATAGCGCGAGGTGGAGGATGAGAGGAGGAAAGAGCAGACTGAGAGAACAGAAGTAGGAGTTCGAGAGAATATAAAAGAACAAACAATCCCACATCACTCCATCACTCAGCAGCTCGCACCAAGTCGCAGCAGGCCGTTCATGCAAGACGTGTTCGTGCATTTGTGCCATTTTTAAATGCACACTAGAGCGACGTCTTTGACAGTCGCGACGTGTCTCGCTGGTTTTCAAGAGTCTCGTGCCATAAGCATTACGTTTGAGACTCAGTGGAATGGAAATTAATCAAAATGAACTTCTCTTAACTTGACAAAGTGTCTCGAAAACATGGCGCTCATAGCATCGGACTTCAGTGAGGCATGTCGCAGTGGTTAAATACGTCCACTAAGTGCATGTTTACAAAGAAAAACACAAAAAATTCTGTGTGAAGTCACTTAAAGGAATTGTTCACCCCAAAATAAAAAATTCTGTTATCACCATCATTATCATCATCATCATCATCATCATCATCCTGTGCGCCACCTTTACAGTTCAGTCCAGCTAAAAAAATATACTTTAAGTAACACATTTAAAACACTGGCATTAATTATATAGAAAATAATGCTAAAAACTTTATATTTCTGATTTAATGGCTTAAATATTGTATTACTTTTTTACAATTATATCCAGATTGGTTTTGTTTTAAATCTTGCACTCATGTAACACCAATATATATATATATATATATATATATTTGTGCCTTGCGAAAGTATTCATACCCCTTCATTTTTTTCACATTTTGTTAAGTTGCTGCCTTATGTTATACTGCTACACTCCATACACCATAAAGGTAAAGCAAAAAACAGGTTTTTAACATCTTTGCAATTTATTAAAAATAAAAAACTTTAAATGATTAGTATTCCATTCCATTGTATAAGTATTCATACCCTTATCTGGGACAGTAGAAATTTAGCTCAGGAGCATTCATATTGCTTGTAGATGTTACTACACTTCGAGTGAAGTTAACCTGTGGCAAATTCAATTGAATGGGTATGATTTGAAAAGGCACACACATCTTAATAATAAGTCTAACAGCTGAAAATGCATATCAGAGCAAAAACAAAGCCCTGAGGTAAAAAAAAAAAACTGCCTGTAGAGCTCAGAGAGCTTGTTTCAAGCCAGTTTCAAGCATCTTGTTTGAAGGAAACCTGCTCTGTTCATCACCTGCAGAGTTCCATCCCAAAAGTAAAGTGTGCTGGTAGCAGCCTCATGCTGTGGGGCTGTTTTTCAGTGGCAGGGACTGAGGGACTCGATACAGTAGAAGAAAATCTCAATGCCCCAAAATATTGAGATAGCCTTAATGAAAACCTAGTCCAGAGCATTCAGAACCTCAGACTGGGCAGAAGGTTCACCTTCCAACAGGACAATGAACCTAAACACAGCAAGAGTGGCCTATAAACAACTCTGTGAATGTCCTTGAGTGGTCTAGCCAGAGCCTGGGCTTGAACGCAATCAAACATTTCTGGAGAAACCTGAAAATGTGTGTCTGCCCCAGTGCCCCCATCCAACCTGACAGAGCTTGAGAGGTGAAACCTGACAGAGCTTGAGAGGTGAAGAGAAGAATGGCAGATAATTGCCAAATACTGATGAGCAAAGCTTGTCACATCATAACCAAAAAGACTTAAGGCTGTTAAGGTGCTTCAGCTAAGTACTGAGTTACGCACTATCATGACACACTATCATTATATTGAATTCACCAAACCGGATATTCATTAAATTATCTTATTTTGTGTTCAGATGAAAAACAGTCATACACTATTTACATTTTTGACGAACTATTCCTTTAAGAACAGATCAAATTGTCAAGACATCAGCATTATGCTCCAATTCCACTGCACACGTCTAGCTAGTTATGAATGCAAGAATAGTCTCCGTGGGAATGGCCCCTCGGCAAGAAGCCAATTCTCATTCACAGATTACCACCTACCCTTCATGTCCCACTTGCCCTTATGCAAAACAACCACACGCCTTACTATGACAAGAGTGAACTGTCAATGTGCAGACACTCATGCACTGCTTGTATTACAGTAGAAAGAAGACGTTTGGCTTCTACCGGCTCTGTCTCTACAAACACAAACTCGTGCACCTCTTGTATTACAGTACAGACGGACTCTTGCCACCGCCCCTGTTCGCACGCATGTCGCAAACAGCACTCAACAGTGTTGTAACTTCTCCTATGTCCCAGATCAGTAACAAAACCACTGTAGCCCAGCACTCTAAGGCACTGAGTGTCTCTCCTTCAAATAGACCTCTTCAAAATAGGATTACTGTGTTTAGCAGAGGGAACAAAATACTTCTCTGTAGTGCCACTCACAGCCAGCTGCTGTGTGGTTCAGATGCTGCACCCACACTTTAGATGTGGAGGATATCTTATGACAATGTGTCTTGTTCTGGTGCCAATCAGCTGTCGTATATCCGAAAGTGTTCACTTATTACCCATAAAATCAAATCTCTCACTCCATACACAGAACCCTAGAGCAGGGGTTTTCAAACTTTTTGATGCCAAAACCACTCATATGATTATCCCTGATGTGATGTGATATGATATGAAGCAATTTTTATTAAAAAAATATTTTTCCAGATAGCATTTCAACAAATCTGCATACAGTTTTGTGGAAGAAAAAAACACATATTTTCTTGTTTTCTTGTTAAAGAAAAACAATACAATAATTGCAATTATCTCGTTATGTAATGTCTTGAGAAAGCAGAATAAAATAGTGAATTGCTATTTTAGTGACCAAATTTACTGAATATGAAAGTAAAAATACAAAATCATTGCATTTAACACATTTCATTATTATCTATATTGCACGTTAACTTTCACAGCCACAAAAGTACATTCTGCAATTTTTTTCTCTGTAAAATTTTTCACGGTCCCCCAGGATGCCCTCGTGGCACCCTGGGCTCCCCAGACCCAGCTTGAAAACCTCTGCCATAGAGATACTACTCTAATACCTGAGATCACTAGTGACAATTCTTCTATTTTGCATCTTTCTACTTTAATATAATTACCAGCGATTATCAACCAGTTTCTTTTTTTATTTCTCATTTATGCCATATATTGTACCGCAGATTCCCAATTGCCCATGTCTGCCATCACCTTAACTGACTTTTCATTAGAAACACTGTGTTTTACCTTGGCGAGATAGAAAGCAATTGAAGCATTGAACAAGACATCATTGCTTGCCCGCCACCAGGGTTATTGACTCTGTACTGGAGGGCAGCTGGTGTTAATGTCTCTGCAGACACTTAATTCAGAAGCAGTTCCTGAGGGTACTGCAACATAATTCCTTTGTTTCACATGCCCATATCCTCAGCACAGAAGCAAACTATTCAAAACAATAGGAAAATAGCCCTAGAACATCTTAGCTGCATGAAGAATTTCAGTCATTCGATTAAAAAAACACCTTGTGAAATATATCAAAGTTGACAATGTGCCAAATACAATTACACCCAATTTGCATCTTCAGCAAAGCACACAAATCATAATAAGAATTTCAGTCATTCGATTAAAAAAACTACTAAACTAAAAACTAAAACTAAAACTAAAAAAATTACACCCAATTTGCATCTTCAGCAAAGCACACAAATCATAATAGCTGTGAGCCTGTGGATTTGTTGTGAAGTGCCCCACAGAGAGTCAGGGGAGACAGCTAGGCTTCCTGAAAGAGTATCTTAGTACTGGCTTAAGGACTTCCCTTCAAGTTCAGTGCAATATTCTGACCCTCAGGTTGTTGATCATCAGTCATTTAAAGCTTAAATGTGTTTATGAACAGTGAAGTCAACTCTGTGTGTGTGCACTGCAATTACAACACAGATTGCCTTTTATTTTCTCAGAGGTTCATGTGTGCTTATGCATGAGTATGATTCAATTTGCTGAGCGTGAATGAGTTTTATGCTATTTATATAGTCTGAAAAGGCACTTGCAATGCAAGTGTTAGTATCTGAAGCAGTGTATACCTTTTAGTCGATGTTAAGACCAACAGCAGCACGCTTGCATTATATTTTTTTAAACTAGTATTCACCTTATTTTTCAACGCGGAAGCAAGTTAAGCTGTTTTTTGTGAACGTGTGAGACTTCCGGTTCATTAACTGCTGTAGGAAAATAACGAGAATAACAGGGTCCAGTAAACGGTAAAACTGTTTGCACTACAAACCATGTGTGTTCATATAATATATATTCAGCAATATATATATATATATATATATATATATATATCAAATGAAAATGGCAACATCGTTTTATAAAGTATATGCGTTCATATGGCGATCACGAATTCGTGTACAGTTTATGGAACTAATCGCACATTTTTAGGGGGGCTGAGTAGTCATTTTACTGGGGCTATATGTCCCAGATCAGTAACAATAAAAATGGCCTAGCGACGCCCATGTTCATAACTAAGATAATACATTAAAGGGGTCATATGATGCGATTTCAAGTTTTCCTTTCAAATGGCACTAACATTAGAAGCCAGATCCATAAAATTTACAAATGGCTGCACCCACTCTTACGGGGAAAATAAGGTGGCTAGTTTAGTATACTATAAGAAATTAATGCTGTGTGACTTACATTTACACATAGTATTGGCAATTATTAAATCCATTTTTGCACCGCCAACAAAAATATTTCCAACATAAAGTTAAGCAACAAGCAACACACAGTAGTCCTTGTTGATTTTCAAATGAATCATTTTTTTTAATGAATTGAGTAAAAGAATTAGGGATGCACCAAAATAAATTATTGGCCGAAGCCGAAGCCGAACAAAACGAAACACTGGGCCGAAGGCCGAATACCGAACATGGTTTTTCACGGTTTCCCCCCCCCATTTTGCCAATTTTTTCACCATTGCATAAATTAAATAGCAAAAATTACTGTTTTGTCTTGCTTGTCATAGAGAAAAAAATCAATTACAAAACAGCATTTAAAAAATA